GCAGGGAATTTCTTGATCAAATAAGGAACTGTTAACGTTTCAATGATGCAGTTTACAGAGTGGATTATGTATGTGCCGTGTTTATACGTTAATTTGCTATGCTGAGTAAACATTTTATATTCCGCGCCGCATAACCTCTGTGAAGGACGAATCTGTATTGTTTGTTTAATTTACCCCCTCAGAGGAGAAGCGGGATGTATTTCGAAGCTACAGATGTAATTAGCGAGACTTCTTTGTTGTTCTGCCGCCAGGTTTCGTTTCTTCTGGAATTAATTGAAGACATAAGTTCACTCAATAAACATGCATTGATATACTCGTATGTAAGGTGTTTAGAATGTGTGTTTGTCTAAGTAATATAACACTCACACACACTCGTAGAGCCGAGCCCTTCTTGAGAAGCCGCCAATTGTACAGCTACTGAAGAACTTCCCAGCATTTTATGGAAACCGAAGGTTCATTACCGTATTCACAACAGCCTTCCACCGGCCCCTATCCTCAGCCAGATCGATCCAGTCCGTAACATCTCACCCTATTTCTCTAAGATCCATTTTAATATTGTCCACCCACCTACGTCTTAGTCTTCCTAGTGGTCTATTCTGGTTTTCTCATCAATATCCTATTTGGATTCCTCCGCCATTCGTGCTACATGCCCTGCGTGGTGTGGGTCCCTTGTCACCACGGGATGGCGCGTCCTCAGGTTGCGGATGGAGGAGACGCCCTCCAGTTTTGGAGGGAAGCTGCGAATATATTGAATAAACAGTCGCGGACAGCCGAGAATGGGTGGTCCTCCAGCTTGGGGTTGGGCGTGGGACTAACAACTCCTCACTGCAAAAAATAGGCTTGTTACGAAATATTTCAAGAAGCCTCGGACTTATAATATTTCGCAATATAAAATATACCGGGAAATAAAGGGTTTAATTTGTCGTACTGAACAAGTTTGTTACACCAATAAAATTGAAGTGATTAGGGAGCGAGGCGCTTCCTAATATTTCTTGTCACTCAATGTTCTCGGTGTGAACAAATCGAAGGAAATGAAGTTGATGTCACCTATGGCATGCATATGTAAAATCATAAATGCGTACGGAATTTTAGTGGGAAGATGCGAAGTACGAATAAGGACTGAATTCTGGCCCAGTGGCCGGGGGGGGGGGGGGTGCACACGA